GCCGTAGATCACTATCATAAGTTGTAGTGACCCGGCATGGCCAGGTGGTGATGGTACTCGGCTCGCAATATGCGGGTCGCGGGTTCGAATCCCCGTTACACCGAAACATGCCCACCCGCCAGTTTTACTCCCGGATACTCACCTCCAATAGGAATTTGGAGGTGTGTAAAACACAATACGAAAAAAAAAAGTTGTAGTGCTGTAATTTAATAGGATTTAGTGCTCTGGTGTGCTATAAATTAAGTTGTAGTGATGCAGTTCACTATAATGTTGTAGTGCAGGCATGTCAGTTTTATGGGACCGGATTCTGTACAATAGGTGTCTGTCACTTGTTAGCGATAAATTCGAACAATAAACGGACAGCACACAATCCACCTGTTTTAAAACAATATATTCAAAACAAGTCAGACGTATGTACAAAAATTCTTTACACTATAGGATATCAAAGTTGTAGCTAAATCTCTAAATAATTCTTTTTTCCTTGTCAAACATTCCTACAGGCTGGTTCAGTTACTTTAGAACCCAATTGACAAGACAAATTATTTTTCTCTACTCTGTTTCACACTACACAATTTGTGATAAATTCACTTGCGTTACCCCGTGGGTTACCACAATTGTATCTAGAACTTCAAATAATTGTCTCCTTTTCGTCAAAGTCCACACAGGCGGGTTCAATTACTTTAGAACACCCTTTGACACGACAAATTATTCTCTTTATCTCTGTTAAACTGTGAAACTCACTAAAATATCGCCTGTTACGGCTAAACTAACAATCCCGCAGTCTAACTACAACTTCATTAATGTAACTTTTTCTGACTTAACTTCTTCCAACTTAACTTAACTTACACTCACGTAGTCGCCTATATATATATATATATATATTGTCTAACTGAGGCCTAAAACTTTCTACAAACTACGAGACGCTATGATGTAACAATACTTATTTAACGCAACGAGAAAAATACAGAAAGTTCGAGTAATGTGACGTCAATTTACAACAATTGAACTACACACACAACGTACGACTCTTACCGAGTTACGCAACGAAATTTTTCATAACTACACTTTTGAAATAACTAACTTTTAAAACTCTTGTTATAAAAACTAAATAATCATTGAATATTATATCACTAAATGGATTAAATAATAACTCTTGCACTAAACAGTCGTATATCCAACAATTTTGACAAGTTAAAAGTGGCTTTGCTGAAATGCTATGAACTTACTGAAGAAGGTTTTCCTTGGAAGTTCAGAAAAGTCAAATTTAACACTAGAGAAACTGTATTTCAGACTGTGGCGCGTCTACAGCGATCCTTCACAAAATGGACCGACATGGCAAAGTGTGAATATTTTTATTATGTTATAAAATAGGGCACATTGCAAAGGAGTGCAAATCCATCACCAACAAGCAACAACAGAAATCTCAACATAAAGCAGCTGGAGCTACCTACAAAGATGGTGCTGGCAAGAAACAAGAAAATAGTGACTATCACCATGGATGTGGCTGTCTAATGAAACAGAATCAAGAAAACACGTCAGATTCACCACAAGAAGGAAGTGCCATTTCCATGATTGATTAGTGCATGGTCAGCTGAAGTTAGCAAATGGAGCAACAGTGCCAGTAATGATTGGAGCATGTGACAAACATCGAGAGGTGACAACAAATCACAACATGCCAGTAGGTGAAGGTTGTGTTGGGGACAAGAAAGTGAACGTCCTAAGAGACTCTGGGTACATCTCTGTGTGCTAATTGATGGAACAGTGAGAAAGTTTCCCATAGCAAAAATAAACGTGGACACTCTTTACTATGTGAGAGACCTTAAGGCCATGTGTATTAAGGCACCAATATACGACTTGGTGATAGGAGACATACCAGGTAATAGAAGTTTGGAGGAACTAGACAGAAAGAAGATGGATGAAGCATCTGCAGTCACCACAAGAGGTCAAGGGAAGAAGAGCAAGCAAAACAGCAATCCCTTGCAAGTATCAAAGAGTGGCATCCCGAATGTAAGCCTATGGGAATTGAAGAAAGTGCAGAAGAAAAACCCTTCACTGCAGAAACTTTGGGACAGTACCCATAAGAAAGGACCAAAAAGGAGTATTGTACTGGACCTATGAAATCAGTTCTACTGGGGAAGCTAAACACATCAAAGGCAGTAAGAAGCACTTCTATGAAAAGAAGGCCAATGATTGACATTTCAAAACAAAGCACCAGAAAGGAGTATTGTACTGGACCTATGAAATCAGTTCTACTGGGGAAGCTAAACACATCAAAGGCAGTAAGAAGCACTTCTATGACAAGAAGGCCAAGGATCGACATTTGAAGGTCGGATAAAAGGTCTTTGTTCTGCTACCCACAGCCAACAGCAAACTGACTCTGCAGTTTAAAGGACCTTTTGAAGTGCAGGAAGTTATAAACAGAACGTACTATAAAGTGAAAGTGAATGGGAAGACAAAGAACTGCCACACCGGTATGTTGAAGAGGTACTTTGAGAGGAAAAAGGACATAACAAGAGCAGATGGACATGGCAGGTGTGGCTGTCAGAGATGCAGAACCAGAAGACAGTGACTTTGTCATAGAAGATGAAGACCTACTAGACCCAAAACCACTGGGTGGAGATGAGATGTACAAGGACGTCAACATAAGTGAAGAACTGACTGGCAAGAAGAAGAAAAAAGTTACAAGATTTACTGTGCCAGTATACAGATCTATTAGGAGAGACGGACCTCAGGCAACACAAGATCAAGAGAAAAACAAGGAATCCTGTCAAGGGGAAGTCCTACTGGAGGTCCAATGTGAAGAGAGACTGACAAAGGAACTACAAATGTTGGTGTAGACTATATGAGGAAATTTAGTGTATGAAGTAAGAACAGTCTTTGTATATAGTATAAAAACTATTGTGAATATTTTTCTTGGAGAGTGGATTATTGTCAGATATACAAAACTGATTAGTGTAAGTGTTATTATTTAGTTCATTTAGTGATCTAATATTTAATGATTATTTAGTTTTTATAACAAGAGTGTTAAAAGTTGATTATTTTAAAAGCGATAGCGATGACAAATTTCGTTGTACAACTTGTAACTTGTTTTAAAATAATATATTCAAAACAAGTCAAACATATGTACAAAAATTCTTTAGATTATAGAATATCACAGTTACATCTAAAACTCTGAATAATTCTATTTTTTCTTCTGTTATCACAATATAATTGGTGAGAAGTTCATTTACGTTATCCCATGGATTAGCACAATTATATACAGAGCTTTAAGTAATTATCTTTACGTAAAAAGTCCACACAGGCTGGTTCAGTTACTTTAGAACTCAATTGACAAGACGAATTATTTTTCTCTACTCTGTTTCTTACTGCAAAATCTACGATAGATTCGTAGGTTAGTACAGTTGTATCCAGAACTTTTAATATTAGTCTCCTAGGCATGTTTAATTACTTTATAACACAAGACAAACTATTCTCCTTATCACTATTAAACTGTGAAATGCACTTTAAGATATCGCCTGTTGCTGCTAAACTAATAATCCTGCAGTCTAACTTCACTTTAACTAACTTAAATTCTTCTGATTTAACTTCTTCTAACTTAACTTGCGTTCACTTAGTCGCCTATATATATATTGTCCAACTGAGGCCTAGAACTTTCTACAAACTACGTGACGCTATGATGTAACAATACTCACTTAAGGCAACGAGAAAAATACAGAAGGTTCGAGTAACGTGACGTCAAGTTACAACAACTGAACTACACATACACAATGTACGACTCTTACTGAGTTACGTAACGAAATTTGTTATAACTATCGCTTTTAAAATAACCAACTTTTAAAACTCTTGTTATGAAACTATACAATCATTAAATATTAAGTCACAAAATAAACTAAATAATTACTCTTATACTAAACAGTTATGTATATTCAACAAGACATATGATAAAAGAACAAGCACGGTCTCGAATCTGGCTCGATTGATTGGAATGTTCATCTTCAAGGCTATTACATATGCCCTAGCTTGCCAATAGTAATGCTGTTATGTCATTTCATAAGTTGTAATAGTTTTGTTTCAATACTGATGAAAAATAATTAAAATAAGTAGGCAAATTATGAATAAAATCTATGAACCGTAGCTGAGTAATCTTTGTTAAAGAACAACAAGAAAGATTGAAAAGATTTTTGACAAACTTTTCGACTGCTGACCTTGGTATTTCAAGCGCACTAACTAAATTATTAGGAACATATTCCTTACTAGACATTTGTCGAGAGCCAAATTAAACGCACCTGTAAAATAGACTGAACATGCAATAATGGGAGGTTAACACAATACGATCGAATAGATAATATGAATTCTTAATGTCCTAAAAATACAGTTTATTAGTTTTATTCAGTCTGTAGATAAAGAAACCAAAAAACATTTGACAGATATTTCTGAATCTTGTTGTGAAAAGCATAACACCTCAGAGAAAATATCCTTAGAAATATAGATGGTAAACTTACTACTAAACAAGGGGGATTCGGAACATTGCTAAATTGTAATACGCTTACAGTGCACGAAACTTACCTCTTACATTACTTTCCTGTTGGTTTTTGTTGTTTTTTATCATTAATTCAATTATCTCTTATGCGTATGTTAAGTAAGTTTCAATAATCAGTTCTGACGTTAGGGTAAAAATTATGGCTGTGAATTTATTTTGTATTTCTTCACTTACTTTAATCTGCATGCAACAAGGATAATTCAAAACATATCTAAGCAACATACGGTTAGGCCTAGCTATAAGCTAGGCCTACTCGTCTGAACGCCTCCAACAGCAGGAGATCCCACCTAAGAGTATTCAGCACTAAAGATCAAATACAGCTGTAAATCAGTCCTAATCAGGCTAAGCCTCCCATGATGAGACTACCTAAAGGCAAAAGAGCGAGGGCACACATTTACCTCAGTAATAAAAAAACCTTGAAGGTTAAACCAGCTTTAAGCAGCTTACAAACAAGACATTAAATATATTGTGTAAATCTATAGTATATAACAGGTAGTTCATGAATAAGGTTTGAAAACCATAATACAGCCCTGAATATTAGATTCAATATTTTGGATTGAATATAAGATTTACGTGTCATATCCTTTTAATCTTTATAAATCAAAACTAAAGCTGATTATCTTAAGTAAACAATATGTTTTTGTATATAATGGCTATTGACTTATACTATGATTATCACACTTCATAATTCGTAAAACTGGAATCACACATACGTGCTAAGTTATCATGAAGTATTAAAAATATCTTAGATTCCTTAGTAATAGAATTCATATTACCATAAATTTGTGACCAAAAATAAAAAATAAAAATGGATTTTTACAATTACGAAAAACACCATATTCTTCCCAAAAGTTGTGAGTTTATTATTACATATGTTTGTTTTTTAGATATAATCTTGCACTAAAGTATCATGAAATCTTAGAAATGCATATTGGTGACCAAACATAAAAGTACCTAATGAGTTGACACTAATTGCGGGGACAGTACTATATTATTCCCAGAAATCATGAGCTATTATCACATGTGCAACGTTTTTAAAGTAAGCGTTGCAAAAAACAGGATATATTGAATAATGTATCATACTCTGTATATAACACAGTGATAATAGATGCCAAAAAATCACGCTTACAGAAATGTATGAAAAAACATTACTAATTTACTATGACCTAATAATCACATGACTATGATATTAAATGATAATAATATAATTTTACATTAAGAATTTTTGAACTTTCGTGTTTTTCTGACATCATAAATGAATATGATATTGTAATTTTTAAACGATGATTTGTTTTTCATTGAGCGAAGTTGTAATAAAAAACTATTTTCAAACAAATTTATATTATTCATACTAAATTTAAACATACTAAAAAATGTTATTATGTTTGCGCCTTAGAAAGGTAAGATTTAAACTGACTTAGTTAATAAGTTTTTGTAAGAAGTAGTATTCACTTAACCGTGTTTGTAGTACTATATTACATGATTTTTTGTAATTAAGCACAAAGCTACACAACGGGTTAGCTGTGCTCTGCCCGCCACGGTATTGAAACCCCGGTTTCTAGCGTTGTAAGTCCGTAGACATACCGCTGTGCTACTGGGGTGGCTATACGAAATTTAGACTGTTATAAAACGAAATCCATTTGTGCTTGTCGTGTGTTTGTCAGAAGTTTTGGAATTTGACATTTTGTAAATAACGATTACTGTAACAAAATGTGGTAATAATTGTTAATAATAGATGAAAATGAATTCGTGGTTCGAAGCACTTTTCCGGAGATAGAAAAGTAAAGGGGATTAAATTTCTAGATGAATAGTTTCCATTAATTGTAATTTATCTTTATAGATTATTCGGATATTCTTAGGAAAAGACAGTTCTTTGAACGTTTAATTTCGCTGAATAATTGTTTGTGATACTGTGAAAATGTTGACCATCATATGCTGCACTTTCAGGCATGGTGACGACATAACCGTGACAGTCAAATAGTCAATCCAGTTTTTGTTTTATGAGAAGCCATATTTGCAGTGAATGCTACTAGTAGGTTGTCCGCTCTTTGGTGAATAGTTCTAAATTAGGGATAGCTATGCCTGAACCTTTGAGCTCTAACCTAGTTCATGTGTCATACAAGATGACATTCATGTTGAAAACACTAAATAAATTTTTACACACACAGAGACATGCATATATATATATATATTGTTTTTTTACATTATTTACATTTATTTTACAAGATATGTTATATCCTTGTATTTGTAATATTCATGCACTCGTGCTTATTATGTTTGTACAGAAAAGTTAAGGGCCATGGCTACTCCCTAACTACAACACCACGTCCTTACATTAAACAGTAACTTATATCTTTTAGTCAAAATAAATTTCAATTGAAGAAGTTTAACTCATATTTCAGTGGACTATAATCAACTGTTGCAGCTTATAGGCGACGGTTTTTCGATTTGGAACATGTGTATTAAAATGTAGTCTAGATCGAATATGTTATTTGCAAATGCAGATGAATTCTATCATTAGTAGCAGAAAATCGATCTCTTTCAAATTCATGTGATCCACAACCTCGGTAGTTAGGCGTTGGGGATTACTAAGTTAACTTAGCGAGGTTATCATCACAAACTAGAAGGGCTCTTGATGTTGTACTTTCTTCGTTCTTAAGTGTTTTTTTTTTTGTTGTTTTTAACAAGTCCACTGTGTAGACGAATTTCTTTTCAATTTGTACATTACTTTAAAAGTTGTTTGTTTTCAAGTTCAATTGTATTTTAATTTTCAATGTTATTTCCATATTTGTAATATGTTTACTTCACCTTACTACATACCAGAAATAGAGTGTCTGTTGTTTTTTTCTTCTTGTGTAATAAACTTTTACCATTCCTTACCTAATCACATTACTTTCATCAGTTAAATCTTTAAAACCATCTGGGATCAAACTTTGCTATAAGATTTTCCTTAAACTGGGAATACTGGAGAAGTACATCCTCTATAGGTACATATTGCGACACATTATGGGCTACCTGAGTTGCAAATTAGTACGCAATTCATACTTAGTGCGCAAAGAGTGCTAGCTTACACCAGCTGTCTTGCAAATTAAATCATTTTTGATAAAATAAACAGAAAACATTTTTTCACGAAGTTTCACATACTGTTGGTGTACGGTTAGAATGAAACGGATTTTTAAAAAATATATACTAGTTTTTAATCGCATCTGTTATTCTAGTTTTAACCATTTTCCTCCATCATGCATTCATTCTAATCTTTGAACTTATACTTAAATATTTTTTTATTTACGTTAAATATGTTTATCATGAAAGATTTAGAGAATGATCACGTCATTCCTCAGTTATCACACACATAAAATTATTATTTTGAAGTGATAATGTAATATTTATATTGGACAATACATTGGATCACAAGTTACATTAGTGATTACTAAGCCTATTCTTCGAGATCACCCAAGGATGGCATTTGTTGTTAACGAAAAGCATTTAAATGTGGCTCCCCCGGCAGCCCAACTGAAAGTCTTGGGGCTTATAACACTACAAATTGGATTTTGATACCTGTGGTGGAAAGAACACAAATAAACTATTGTATAGTTTTGTACTTTGAAAATAAACAATCTAAATGTGTTTATTGAAAAAATTGTTGAGTAGCAATTGTCCTTTCTGCCGAAAGAAACCGCTTTCTTTAGGTTTATTTCTTAATGTTACGACTGTGTTGCTGATATGACACCTTATAAACGCCCAATCAAAACAATAGAAATGTCCACCCCTCCCATAAAAAACAACTCGTGTATATATATATATATTCATTGAGACAAATGCGTTATATTATTCAGTGTACGTTAAGATTATAACAAGCTTCGAGAA